ATATGAGCTCTAACTATCCCTGGGGGTGGTTAGCGCCCTGATGGCACTGCCTGAGTTATTCGCCAATTCTCCAACTTTCTTGGACTGTATTTATTATTAAGATTGTTTTTATATTGTATTTTAATAGATTTTATTTCTGCTGTAAACCGCCCAGTCGTTTCAGTGAGATGGGTGGTGACAAATTTGATATATAAATAACATTAATTAATTAATTAATTAATAGATTAGTGAAAGTGAATCCCTGGTATCACCCATTAATTCTTGTGATTGGAAACTGTATTTCAGTAGATGCAGCCTAAAAATAACATTTATCTTTTTTGCAGTCCTATCCCAGCACTTACTCATATTATCACTGTAGTAACTGTAGTATTTGAATCCTTTCTATTTGACTTTAGTGAAACTTCTGCTGAGATAATACATAGGGTTGTTTAATGTTTTAGATCAAAAGGTCATTTTTATTCAACTAAGGTCTCAAGGAGGAAATGCTTAGCTAGCGTTAATGGTATGGACTAATTCTTTAGCAGAGGCTCTTTGGTTTTTGGAAAGAGCAAAAAAACTTCCAATGATGAGATTTCTAGCTTGGTTATCTTTTTTTCATTACCTTGTACACAGATGATGTCTCCAGTATCTCTGGTTCTGATTCCAGTGACTGTGGGTCAGATAGTGAATCTGAATCACAATCTTGCCTGAACAGTGAAAGAAAAGGAACTGGCTATTGCAATCCACGCTCTCAGCGGGTACTTTTCAGAAACTCCGAAGCCCAGCTCATCTCAGTCTTTCGCTGCATTCTGCTAAACACGACAAAGGCATGTCAGAAAACACTATGGCTAACAGCCTATTTGGCTTGTTCCTCTTCTAGCTTTTGCCTCCTTTTAGTCACTAGTTGCCCATCAGCAAATGATATACTTGGCTTTTCAGCTGCCTATCATAAAAGAACACACGTGACATCCAGCCCGGGTTTTAAGTAGTCCAGTGTGTGCTGCAATATCACCTAGTTTTCTACTTTCATGGGCTACTGCCTCCCTTCCAAGCATTTCGAGACTCTGAGTAATATTATTATCTCATCCAGCTGAAGCTGGTCTTAAACTTCAATTCTTGTGGTTAATACATTAAAATACAGCTAGTCCTTGTTTAGTGACCACAATTGGGACTGGCATCTTGGTCATTAAGTTAAGCGGTCGCTAAGTGAAACCATGACTGATGTTACTTCAGCTTTCCTTTGCTTTACAAACCTGCAAAGGTCATAAATGCGAGGATTGATCGTAAAGTTACTTTTTCACCACTGTTCTAACTGCGAACAGTTGCTAAACAAGGCAGTTGCTAACCGAGGACTATCTGTATCTCTCTTTGCCAGTTGCCCTAGTCTTCTGGTTGTGACTTTTCTCTGCCAGCACGTTTCTAATAGGGCTGTTTATAAAATAAAAACACATTTTGTTTCAAGCTTGGAACCAAATACTAGCCCCACTCAAAGCCATGCTAAATTGGCTGTGTTTCAACAAAACAATATTTGAATGGGTTGAATGTCCCATGTTGTCCCACTTTGCCCCCAGAAATTATTTCTCCCTGCTCATGGTTACTATTTCCTAGGAAAAAATTGTCCTTTTCTGTGGGATGAATGGTTGTGGTTTTCCAACTTCCCAAACTTCTGTGGAAAAGAAAATCCACTACTTTTGACTTTTATACTTTTATACTGGCTTGTACTTTTATACTGGCTTGGAACTGCAGAATTTCTCTATCTTACAAAAAAATCTTAGCATTCCTCTGCAGGCCAAGAATACCCTAAAGATCAAACGTCCAGTTTGAGAATGTGTTTTTTTGCTCAATTTGTGACCTTTCACTAACTGATGAGTTTGGTGTATTTCCAGGGCAGTTTGGAAGAGCCTACAGAGCTAGTGACATCCCTTCAGAGGCAGAACCCCAGAACCTCCTGGGTTATCCTGATGGCTGGTGGGGGTCACTTTGCTGGAGCTGTTTTTCGGGGGTAAGAAATGGAGGGTCTAGCTGTCATGGTGGGTCCTCTCTGCACTGTAAATGAGGTCTGTTAGAAGGCTGAAGGACACTATGGCCTGGCTCATACCTAAAGCATCCTTGGTTTATTTTTCACTCAGCATAATTTCAACTAGGTTGTTTGGCTTGTTCTATAAATCATGTGGTGCAAAGTTTATTCAGTGATATAACATACACACACACATCATGGATACTGGCTTAGCTTTTTCTGAAGCAAGAAGGGAGATAGAAAGAAAGGAGATTCTTCAGGTAAGCAGCAAATATGAGAATTCTCCCTGGATGGAAAAATCCTTCTTCCCCCCCAAATCCTTGAATTAGTTACCACCCTTATATCACTTATCTCGGGGATTAAATCAGTTAGAATAAAATGAACCCAGTCTCACTTTCTATGGCCCAGGATTTCAGATGTCATTTAAAAATTTTGGTCAGAGAATAAGAAGGCTACTTTTTTTTCTCTTCCTGAGCTGAGGTGAGAGGGATGAATGAGGAGTTTCTTTAGCATGCAATTGTGATGTAATTTACTTAGTTTTAATCTATGATCTCTCAGAGATTATCTTAAACAACTTCACTGAGATAATCTGATTCTTTGATTATCAGCAGGTTGCGATTAGCCTGAATTTTAGAATGATAGTTAGTCTTTTTCTTTTAAATGCAACATTTTATAGTAAAAGAGGTATAAAAGTTACATAAATACACACATATACAGTAAAACTGACTTACAATTTATTATTCTTTTTTCTTAGACCCAGTGATTGAAATTAATGTAAGATACCTTCAGGCAAACATTACAATGTTTGTAAATGTTAAGAGAGAGGGGTGAAAGCATTAAAAGACTAGAATCTACCAGGTTTCAGTAATGGAGGAGCTACTACTGTGCCTCTGCCAACCTGCAATGGAGACATTCCTTTCATTGCAGGCTGTCTTTGATAAAATGTGGGGAAACAGCATACGTTTCCAGGCTAGCATTGATGTTGATGTCATGGCAATTCACATAAGGGAGACAACTGGTGGGATAGAAAATGGTGAGCACTTGGATATTTTACACATTTGTGTAACAAGAAAGGTTCCCCATCACCTATCTGTGAGCTAAAACTTTATTTGACCGTGTATTTTCTTAATGGTCCTAGGTATTTACTTCTGCTGAAGGCTATATTTCCTTTGTTCCCAGGAATGAGGTGTTGGCACACAAGACTTTCCATCGGTACACTGTGCGAGCTCGACGAGGTACAGCCCAAGGAGTGAGAGATGCTCAAGGAACAATGCTGAAATCTGCTGGTGCCTCATTACGGCGGTATAATGAGGCTGCTTTGCTTAAAGTGAGTCTGCAACCAAGAGTAAACCTGCAAAGTGACAGGATTTAAGGGGTCTTGGGTCCTTCCTGTGGCCCTATTGTTTCAGAGTGACATTGCCCAGGCCTTCATGGAGAAAATACAATTAATTTAGTGGGCCTGTGTAGATTCTTGTTAGTCGTGTGTATGTGTATGTATGTGTGTGTGTGTATGTATATGTATATGTGTATATATATATATATATATAGAGAGAGAGAGAGAGAGAGAGAGAGCAGAGAAAGAG